TTGTCGTGAAGCGGATTCATCGTAATATGGGGTAATTGTTAAGCGGGGCACGACTTGTATAAAGAACAAACCTGTCAGTTAAATGACATGTGCTGAGTACCGTACCTGTTATTGGCGTGCCAATGCTCGGTTTTCACTAGAAGGCCAATTTGTGTGTAAGAGAGAGAAACCAAAATTTTCATTGCATGATTGCTCTCGTATGTTGTCCACTTGGGTAAAAGGCACAAAGTGGAGAATTTCAGTCCTGCAGAAAATGTCAAGCTTGAGAGGCAGAGCTGCAGCATCAGTGAAGAACAACATCTCCTACTCTTTGCATGGGGACAAAGAAACCTGTTGACAGTGGCAACTACTGTATATGGTGACTAGAGCCACTGTATAATTTTGCTGTTAATTCAGGCTGGATAGCTCAGTGAGTTAGGTATCTGGTTGCAGAGCCAGATTGAGAGTTCAATTCTCCTATTGTGCCTGTTGGGAGAAGAGCCAGCATGTGTAGCCTTGGGCAAGCTGCACACTCCCAGGGAGCCCCCAGAAGAAGGGAAGGATAACCCACTTCTGAGTATTCTTTACCTGGGAAACCCTGAAAAGGGTCACCACAAGACAGCATTGACTGGATGGCACATTATTATTATAATTAAGAGATAACAGTGCCTAAGGGTGGTGGTGGGGCAAAAATGAGTCACAAAGAAGACCCTATGTGGATATTGAAAACAGTTTGCCTCAGTGGACAACAGGATACAACCAAAGATGAAATAAGGTTATCAAGAGTAATAAATGTGATTTATTTAAATCATAACAAATAGGGAATCAAGCCTATGAGAAGTCACAATGCACAAGAAATCAAGAGGCTACGATAAAAAATGTTAGAGAAAATACAATACAATGAATAAATGATAAGTCCAGTGTAAAACAAGTCTGATTCAGGCATCACGTGAAATAGGATTTTATGTACCAGCAAGTTTCATCATCGTTATATATGCAATATGCAAGTTTCATCATCGTTAGCCAGTTATAGAACATTGCATTTGCCCCTAATCTTCCACCAGCCCTCTAGTTAAAGCTTACTACATTTCCAGCCATTTAGCAATTTAGCCTAAACATTCAAAAGAAATAATTAATATCAAGGGGCAGATTCCTGAAGACTGAGGTCAAAGCGGAAGAGAACAGTTCTAAGGTTCAAATTAATTTTTCTAAGGGCCAAGTTCTGATCCAGAAGCAACACAAGGTCCGCAAATAACCAACAGATTAATGAGAGCAGAAAAATCTGTGGAAGACTTAAAAAAAAAAGTAACCTCAAAAATGGTTGGAAGTCCCCCCCCCAAAAAAAAAGAAAGGAAAAGCAACATATTTATTTTTCTCTTCACCTTCTAATTAAAAAGTTACATATTTCAGCATACACACAGGTGGTGGCGACAGGTTTGTATGTAAAAGAACTGAAGCCCAGATAGAATCCATGGAAGAAATGAACTGGGCCTGGATCCATAAAGAAGGCAAAAGGGAGTCTGCCCACTGCCCTTGGGAGTGCACTTTTTCTTTTAAAATTTTTATCAGCTTGTGCCATTGTGATACAATGCAGGGTGATCGGGAGTGCACTTTTTCTTTCAAATTTATCAGTTTGTGCCATTGTGATACAATGCAGGGTGATTCAACATCATTAAATATACCCTCAAATGATAATATCAGGGCAGGGAGGATAAAATGCTAATTATACATATACCATTCCTCTATTTCTCCCAAAACATCCTGTTAGGAATAGACATGATTTTGATATTAATCACTTTCAAAGTGTTCCTAAACAAACTGTCAATTTCTTTGCATGTGACTTGTTGATGGTAAGAGATACAGAGACCATGGTAACAGCGTCTTTTGATTAGGCCAGCATTCTCCAATCATACTGACAAGAGAATGAGGGGGCAGCATCCGAACCGCAGAGGTTCAGATGCTGGCCACTAAACAACACTAGAGATGCAGATAGCTCAGTGAGTTAGGTCTCTGGTCGCAGAGCGAGAGGTTGGGGGTTCAATTCCCATATTGTGCTTCTTGGGAGAAGAGCAAGCCTTACGTGGCCTTGGGCAAGCTGCACAGTCCCAGGGCACCCCCAAGAAGAAGGGAATGGGAAATCCACTTCTGAGTCTTGTCTACCTAGAAAACCCTGAAAAGGGCCCCTGAAAAAGGTCACTAAATGTCAGAATTGACGTGATGGCACATGCTTATTTATAGCAACACATTCCTACAATTAAATCCCTTATTTGGGTGTTAGAATGTGTATTCAGAGCACTCTGCTCTGGTCTTATTGCAGGACTTCAATCCAGGAGACTTTACCAGTGTAGGTGAAACATGATTTTACAATAGAGAAAATCCAGCGTATGTTTCCTTTTCTTGTTATTATACAACAGTTTTTGATCATTTGCCAAAAAAAAATGTCCAGTGAAGAAAAAATTTCCTTTGAAAATACTAATTTTGCTTGAGTCAGAGCTTGGAATATTGTGGTTGTTGCGGGGTTTTTTGGGCTTTTTGGCCATGTTCTGTCCAGTGAAGAAAAAATTTCCTTTGAAAATACTAATTTTGCTTGAGTCAGAGCTTGGAATATTGTGGTTGTTGCGGGGTTTTTTGGGCTTTTTGGCCATGTTCTGAAGGCTGTTTTTCCTAACATTTTGCCAGTCTCTGTGGCCGGCATCTTGAGAGGACTGGAGTAGCAGGGGTAGCACCAGAGCACAGAGTTCCTACTCTGAAGATGCCGGCCACAGAGACTGGTGAAACGTTAGGAAGAACAACCTTCAGAACACGGCCAAAGAGCCCGAAAAACCCACAACAACCATCAGATCCCGACTGTGAAAGCCTTCGCGAATACTTGGAATATTAGTTTTTTTAAAAATGCAATTTCTTCCTACTACTTAATACAGTTTTTAAAATAAATTTATGTGATTCAAAACAATGTTTTAAAAAGTGCTTCATTATGCTTAGAGTATGGAAATGTTCCTTTTTGGGGACACTGGGCATTGTAGTCCAAAAATATAACATTTCCAAACCTGGTTGCATTAATCATAACATTGTACATTGATTTTTTTTTTGTTTATTTTAAAAACATGATAACTCAGGATTGACACGAGTGTGACTTAAAGCTCCGGATATTCCTATTGTGAGCAAGAGAGAAAGTAAAGTGTGCCGTCCCCTCAGCTGCCCAGAAGAGAATTTAATGTAAAGGGAAAAGAGGAGTATTATGAGAGGAAAGAAGTAATGAAAGAGCTGAAGGGCTTAACAGTGAGAAGGGGGAGAGGGAGAAGGGGAGACAGCATGAGGGAAGGAGAGAAAGGGGAGGAGCCTCTTTTTGACAGTTGAAGATAACAGCCATTTAGGGGAAACAAAGAAAGTGGAAGTAATTAAAGAGAATCTGAAAGAGTTTAAAGTACCTGTAAAGAGTTTAAATAAGAAAAAGATGTTATCACCATTGTCCCCCTCAACGGGGAGAAAAACCACTCCAGGGGGGATTAGAGCCTTCACCGTGCTGAGGCATGATTTGTACAATTAGTGAGAAGATGATTGTTGGAAGATTTGCTCAGTTACCAGTAAAAGAACAAAGGACAAATGACCCTTTAATGTTGTTTTGGGAAGAAAAATCCCAACCCTTTCTGTTTAAAGAAGTTAATGAAACTGTTAATAAGGACAATGCAAGCTCTGTTAATAAAAAGTTATTTTCTGATATGTCATCATTGCCATTCCATTCATTTAAAGAGGAACTGCCAAGGGAAAAAAAAGTTGAACCTTTTTGCAATGGCGCCCAACGTGGGGCAGTTCCTCGTATAGGAATGACTGAGGAAGAAGATCTGAGACAGACTGTAAATCAACAAGAGAAATAAATTGAAATGTTAACTGAACAACAAAAGTTAATTATAAACCAATTGATGAAAGTTACTGAAGGTGGAGGAATAAAAGAAAATTTGCGAATTATTTTTTAAAAGTATCAACCAATCTCTCTTTAACACACACACACAGAGAAAAAATCCCAATGGACATTAATACTCACTCCTTGTTTATCTGGAGTGTTACAGGAGTTAGTGGATACTATGCTATGCAATATGAAAAAGTCAAGACAATTATTAAACAAAAGATCAATTAATGGATGACTTTATTATGGAACAACTAGTAACTACATTAAATCCTTCTGTCAAATGTTGGGTAAAACAAAACCATCCAGCGAATTTGGAGACAGCGATAAGGTTAACTGAAGACTTCCACATTGCTGATGAAAATTCTCGTGATAGTTATAGCCTGGGAACAGAGAAATCTCATGAGAGGGAAAGAGGCAAGATGGCAACCGGAGGTGTCCCTCAGAATGAACCACCAGCAGGAATGAATATAAAGAATGTCCGAGGTGATCCAGGTCGACTAGGAGGACAAAAACCGAGCCGTCCCTTTGCAGGAACCCATCGAAATGAAGAGGCATTTTTAAATGAAAGAGAGAACAGAGAGTTTCAAAATGTTTGCTTTTGATGTGGAAGGGAAGGAGATCAAAGAAAACCTTGCCCAGGATACGATTGTTCATGGGCATGCCAGGACTCGGAAGTGACTAAAAAATTAAATATGGGACAAAGGGGCTGGGAAATAATATCATTTGTAAATGGTAAACCAAAAAAGGCTTTAATTGATACAGGAAGCGGTAAAACTTTGGTAAAGGCAATAGAGGGTGAAACGGAAGCGGATGAGATAAATATTCGATGTATACATGGAGATATAAAAATGTACAAAACTGCATGGGCAGATGTGGAAACCGAAGGGGAAAAACAGAGATTAAAGTTGGGAATAGTATATGGTTTAATAACAGAGATGTTAATAAAAAGAGATTGGAAGGGAATTGAAAATTTGAAAAAGCTGAACCTTTTTGCACCTATCCTAACTAAAAATGCCCCTTTCACTTTAAAAATTAATTAGTCCCAGTATTTACTTCACCAGTAAACTAATCATTCCCATGTTTATTTAATTTATATCCCGCCTATCTAGTCGGGTGAGGACCACTCTAGGCGGTCCCAGTATTAATTAGTCCCAGTATTTACTTCACCAGTAAACTAATCATTCCCATGTTTGATGATCCTCTTCAATGTAACTTTGTTACAAGTTTCTTGCAAAAGAAAAGAAAATGTGTGACAACAATTAGGTGACTTGTAACTCATTGCTTCCAAGATGCAGTTTGGGTGTCCCAGGATCAAGTAACCCATCTGCCACTAACCCTTGGGTTTGTGGGCACTTAGCTACTCTCCTTTTCATGTGGAATTTCTGGTGTTTTACAATGTGCGACCGATGAGAAAAACATTTCCCACACTCCAAGCACCGGTAGGGTTTCTCCCCTGTGTGAACCCGCTTGTGAGCCAAAACATTTGAACGATCTGAAAAGCATTTCCCGCAGTCTGAACACGTGAAGGGTTTTTCTCCTGTGTGAACTCTTCTGTGCCTCTTGAAGGATGAGCCATCAGCAAAGCACTTCCCACACTCCAAGCACGTGTAAGGCTTTTCTCCAGTGTGGGTGCGCTGGTGCTTCACAAGCCCCGATTGTTGGGCGAAAAATTTCCCACAGTCCAAGCACGTGTAGGGTTTCTCTGAGGTGTGGACCCGGCAGTGTTTCACAAGGGCTGAAGGCCGAGGAAAGCATTTGCCACACTCCAGACATTCGTAGGGTTGCTCTCCCGTGTGGATCATCCAGTGACTCACAAGGGCGGAGTGCTGGTCAAAACACTCCCCACATTCGGAGCATTTGTAGGGGTTCATTCCTCTATGAACTTTCTGGTGAGCTACAACGTGAGACCTATCAGCAAAACATTTCCCACACTCCAGGCATTTATACGGTTTCTTTCCTGTATGAACCCTCTGGTGCCTGACAAAAGCTGGGTGGTCAGCAAAACCTTCCCCACATTGTAAGCATTTATAGGGTCTCTCTCGCACATGGATTATCTGGTGGGTCAGAAGGTAGGATTCCCGAGCAAAGCACTTCCCACACTCCAAACACATGTGGGGCTTGTCCACCCCATGGATACGGCAGTGTTTCACGAGAGCCAAGGGGTGAGGAAAACATCTCCCACACTCTAGGCATTCATACGGCTCCTCTCCTGTGTGGACTTTCCAGTGGCTGACAAAGAGAGAATGCTGTTTAAAGCACTCTCCACACTCCAGGCATTTGTAGGTTCTCTCTCCCATGTGGGTTTCCTGCTGCATCGCAAGGTCCAAGTGATAAAGAGAAGATCCCCAGCATATGAAACAACAGACGGGTTTCTGTCCTCCAGTCCCTCCCTGGGATAAAACACTGTAGTATCTGCCACACTGGAGGCACCAATCTTTTCCCACAGAGTCACCTGGTACAACAAAAGACAAAGACTGGTGATGTTTACTGCCAGGCCATGAACAAAGAGAGGAGCTTTAAAACATCCTGACTCCTCTTTGGTGAGTCAGACACATAAATGAAGTGGCTTTTTTCTGAAGGGATTGAATCAAATTTTTAAGATTCCAGAAGTAGTGTTTAAAAAGATAAGAGTCAGTGAGCATATTTCAAACAAAAGCAAATCACAGAGGTGTACGCTCAGAATGGCATGTAAATACTTAATGGGAAGTGGGGTGGTCTTGAAATAAGACTGTTGTTAAGAAAAGTGCCAAAGCTGCCTGCCGGCGGCTACTAGCGTTTTTCTCAGAGTGAGGACAGAGACAGAAGAAAAGGATGTCACCAGCTCACAAGATGCAAGAAAAATTCTATACTATCTAAAACAGGCAAAGCATGGCTCCTGTTTATCTGTGAAGATTCTGTCATCCAGGTGAAGTTATCCGGAAGTTGAGGCATGACAACTGGACTTCTTTCCTATCAGGCTGAAATGTACACTACTCATCCAAATAGCTTCAGTTTGAAGACAGGGGTCTCCTATCAACTCTCCTCTGATTGAAGAAGCTACTTGGATGACTAGCGGAACATTTCAGCCTGATAGGAACGAAGTAAAGTTCCATGATTCAACTTCCAGACATGGCTCCTGTTGTTCAAGGGCAAATTCCATCTGCCTTAGCCAGCAATGTTGACATCTGTAGTCCAGACTCATTTGGAGGGCATCCTTTGGCCCGCCCTAATGGAAAATAATAAAAATGTCTGTGTGGAAAGGTGTATCTGCTATACTGTACTATAGCTCCAAGGCAGAGAAAGTCGTACACCTAAAATACGTTGTGGGATATTAGGAAGATGCTAGGGAGGTATACACTGAAGTCATTCTGTTTTTCAAATATACATTTTTTTTTAATTTATTAGTTATTTATTTCTGCTATTCATATACTGTCCCATTAATGCACAGCACTATTCTGGGTGGTGTACATATAGAACAATAAAATAAGAACATAGTAAATAAAACAACCAGTCCAAATAAAAAGGCACCACCATTAAAAACCAGATGTATTCATGAAACAGGGTAGGCCAAGGTTCCCTCTAAGCTGGGTGCACGTGCAGGTGTGCTGTGCAGGTGTGCTCGGCTCCACCTCCCTCCATGCAGCTTTCCTCCTTTTTAAACCAGTGATTACATTTAACTCCTTCAGTTCTGGTCACGACGGAACCCTGCGCACAAGTGGGGGCAGCAAAGTCATATGCACACACAGGGGTCAAGTCATGTGTGAGAGAGGTGGAGCCCCACCCAGCAATGCTGAAAATTAGAGGGTACATTGCGGTGGGCACATAAAGGAGAATAACTTCAATAAACCTTCAAACGCCTCTTGAAAAATGTCTTTTCAGCCACCTCTTAAAGCTACATGCAATGACACGGAAATTTGTCCCATAGCTTGGTTTGCTTTGGGGAAGGGCTGGTTCACTCCTTTTTCTGACAACTACCAGTGCCAGCATAAACCAGCCCAGGGCATTCTTACCTGCACCTTTTTGGCTCCTTTTTAAGGGCTCCTCTTTTTTAGGATCACACCATTATGGTTTGTTTCCAGTGTGTGTTGCTGGAATTAAAAGGAAGCAGCTGACTGGCTGTTCCATTTCCGAAGCTACTTAACAATCCAGAAACGGGAAGTGTCCTTGCTTCCCCTTGCCTTTGGAGGGGAAGGGAGAGGAAGTTTTGCATTTCTTTTTACTGGTTGCTAGCCCATCAGCAATGCTTTGAAAGGGCTTTTTAAAAAGCCCTCTCAAAGCAACACTGATGCATTGTGTTGGTTTGCAAAAATTAAAAAGAAAGGTCTGAGGAAGTGGACTTGATTCACGAAAGTTCACATCAAAGTGTAGCAGTTAGTTTTTAAGGTGCCAAAATGTTTTTTGTCTTTTTCTTTTGTTTTTGGCCTCATTTCATAAGAGGGTCTCCTCCAGGTTTTGCTTCCTTCTACGGGGCACCTAAGCTCTTCAAACACGTAACAGAGAGGGACAAGTTGAAAGAAGGACCTGCTTCCTGGTGAGCAGGGAGGGGGAGACTGAGCAAATGGAAAAGCTGAGTGAGCAGCAGGGTCAAAAGACAGAAAGACTCTTGACACAGAAAGCAAGTGGAAAGTTAGGGAAAGGTAAGAAAAGAGCAGAAGGAAAAAGAAAGAAAGCCAGCATGGGGTGTAGTTGCCAGTTCTTGCAATGATAAATATTTCCAGTAGTTACTAAATACGAATGGGGTGAAGGGGAAGTTGGCTGACATTTTCTCACCAACATCTCACCTGGGCGGTCATCAAGGATTTCTAAACCAATTAAGCTTTGAGAGTCCGGCACCCACAATTCTTCTCCTCTTTCCAACTGGGAGATGAGGTCGGGTTTGGGGCCAAGAAATCCTGTAGCTTAGTAAAAATAGAAAAATGAGGAAGAAACAGACCTGCAGAATTCCCTAAGCCAGTAGTACTCAAGCAAAGTTTTGCACAACTCTAGGGTTTCTTATTAGGGTCCCTAAAATGAAAAGCTGTAAGGAAGCTTGTCTGGGTATTAGGATCATCAGGGGAGGCCTTTCTCTCTGTCCTGCCACCTTCGCAGGTGCATTTGGTGGGGACTCTGTCGCTGCTCCCAGACTTACAGCTTGGCTAATTCCTTTCCAGCTAAAAATGCTATTTAGACTTGAAATCAGGGGTGGCCTTTCTCTCTGTCCCGCCACCTTCGTGGGTGTGGACACGAAAGCAGGGCCTTCTCTGTCGCTGCGCCCAGACTCACAGCTTGGCTAATTCTTTTCCAGCTAAAAATGCTATTTAGACTTGACACCAAGCCATCCCTTGTCATGCTTTACTTGAGGCAGGTTCCCTACTCTACCCAAAGATAGGGCCAGCCCTGGTATACAAGGATTTCAAGAGACATTTAGGGAAAGAAATCTCTCATGGAAGCATCTATCTCATATTGTCCAGCTAAGAGACAGGCATCCACTCACAGGTGCCCTCAGTTGTGCAGTAAGATGAAAAACTCCTTACCTAATGAGGCCACATTCCTATAATTCTCCATCATGACTTCCACATATAAAGCTTTTTGATTTGGGTCCAGCAAAGCCCCCTGTCCCTCCGTGAAGTAGACAGCCACATCTTCAAAGGTCACCAGGCTCTGCGAAAAGACAATGCTCTCAATCAATTTCTGCCACATCAGAAACTATTTTGGTATCACTCTCACATTTCAAAAGTAATCAACAAAGTAGATAAAAATTAGATTAAAAGTCTAAAAAAATAGACAAAATTGTTATCACTGTTAAATGCTTGATAACTGTTTAAAAGAGCAATAGTACAAGTTTTAATACACAGATACCCACATTTAGAGAGAGTTACAATGCTCAGTTTCAACAATGAAACTTCCCCCACCACTGTAATAATAGGTACATATTATTTTCTTATAAGCAAGAATCTAGATGGATTTTAAGTTTCATGTATAGGGGCTATGAACAAAAGTTATTTTGTAAAAGTTTGATAAGAATTAAACTAGTAGTGTTTGTCTTCATGTGCTGTCAGTGTAAATGAGTAAAAGTTACTGATAATAACGGAATTCTCAACTAAACATACAGTCAAAATGAAGTACTGTACAGTGTGTAAAGAGTGTAACAAAAAGCAGAATCAGATTAAAGGTTATTAGGAAAGTGAAGGATTTCTGCATTTCTATCATTTATTTTACCTTGAAGACTCAACTGTAACCGTCTGTACTTTTTGTATGACTAACCATTCTACTTCTCTCCATTTCACATCTTTTATGATTTCTTGGGTTTTATAAATTCTTCTGAGCACTTCTTATTGGTCACCCTTACAATCTATGAAATTCTTATGTGAAGGAGATCAAGGGAGTGTGCCGTCCTCCATTAAAAAGGATGATGTAGAGGAAGGCGGATGTGTGGAAGGGGTGCTAATAGAGCTGGACCAGTCAGAGGTGGTGGCTGAGAGGGCCGAAGAGGTGTGTCTTGTGGAAGAAGGAGGGGAGGAGCTGGATCTAATTATGTGGGAGGAGATAAAAGAGGAGAAAGGCACGCGGGAGTTTAGAACTTGGACGGACTTGAACATCGACAGACCAAGGCATAGAGGGGTCCAAACTGAGCCCATTCTCGACCAAAACCGAAAGTCTGCAGCGACACCGGGATTTCCTAACTTGATGACTGGAGGGGGAATATTGCCGGATCCGTCCCTTGCGGGTATCAGAGGTAGAGGTATTGAACCCTTGGAATGGAAAGTGTCGGTTTTCCCTCTGAATTATCCTGGGGGAGGGCGGCGTGTGATCCGGCCCGGGCCAGAGTATCAGAAGAGGCCTTTGGAGGGCGATTGGGCGCAGCACGGTGTGTGCGCTGAGGAGCGCGCCTTTACGTCAAATGACAGACCGGGAGAAATTTGGGCCAGCTCCCTTCTAGGAGAACACGGCGCGGTTCCTACTGTTAGACCTAAGAAATACCATTTGTTGCCTGATCGTTTGTTGCAGGATCCGTTTGATCCTTTTGAGTTGGAAACTGCTTATAAT